TCTATTTAGGTTTTACCTCCAAAAACAATTTCTTTTTTACTCCCTAAATTTTTATTTTTATTTTATTTTAAGTTTTTGAAATCCCACCTTAACTAATGAATGGAAAGATCGTGTATATATCAGGATAAAAAGGAGTAGAGAAGATACTTCGAGCGAATATTTGAGTACCAGACGTTACAACGTTGAAGTAATCCAGGTTATACTCCCCCGAAAAGCTCGAATGACCCATTTTACAGTGCGATAGTTGGCTATTCACGGACCGACTATACCTACACTTACCTTTTCTAGACAAAAATATGGATACGTCCCTTCGTTTGGATATAAAAAATAGAGATTCAATCTGTCCCTTAACCTAGTCTATATCTACAACTAACGAAAATTTATATATTTTAGTCCCTGATATTTTAGTATGCTTTTAATTTAGTCCCCGTGGCTTAATATTTTTTCATTTAGTCCTCCGTCGTAGAAGAATATTAAAATTAGTCGATGTTGAACTTTTGAAGCTCTAAATTCAAAGATAATAAATACATGTGAATTATCGTTGAATTACGTTCACTCTGACATTAATAATAAAATCTTTTAATACATCAAAAAATAAATGAATATATAAACCCCTAGAACAAATTTCATTTTATTTGGGAAATTATTTAAATTATTTAATATTATTGGTATTAGCCATTGACCTATAAACTTATTTTATTTAATTTTCCCATTTATGGTGAGGGGCGTTTTTGTAATTTGAAAATTGAAGGGTTTAAAGTTCATCACGCGCTCAATCGAGACTGGTTTTTGTTGGGTCCCAAAAGATTTTTAAGACACCGAAAGGTTCAGGTGCACTAAAAAAAAAACACAAACATTAATGGAAAGATTTTTTTATTGATTTTATTTATTTATTTAAATATATATTTAATTGGGTGTCGGCTGCCCTTTTGAGCTCTTAATATTTTTATTAAAAAAATATCAAAAAAAAAAAAAAAATTCACTAAAAAAAACTTTCATTTTATCCCTATTCCGATTAAGATAATACACACGACTGTCATGTAACAGTAACAATCCCTATTTACGCTTTACTTGTAAATTTGGTTAAATGTGAACGAGAAAGTCACGAGTAATGGACATGTATGACACGTGCCCTCTCGAGAATTGAATTCTAGGTTTGGACAAAGATAAAAACTAGCTTTGTTCGATTGAATTGAATTTGTTTTGTATTTGCTTTTATTTCCCTTTATATGATGTAAGACTCTCCGTTCCACGTCAAAGCAAGTTATTTCTTACTTATTGACCTGTACGATGATTTGGGTTTTGACATCTGTTTAACCTTCGATCGATAGGGTTTCCGTCGTAGAGTATGAGTATTTTTTTCTCACGTCATCCACTATCGGTACTTTTTCTTGCTAGGGTCTCGAACAAGTTGTTCTTCTTAAATCATCCCAGAAAGGGTTTGATTGTTTAGCATCTTTAGAACTCGAGTTAAGTTCGAGTCTATTTCACTCCTTTTCTTGAGCTCTACCATTTCCTCTTCTCGTCTTCCTTTTTGAGGACGAGGTTGACAAGGTGTGACTTCTAGTATTTTTCATAGGTGACAATCTTCATCTTAATCATGTTACCTTGCAATATCTCAAATTAACTAGAGGGCAGGCAATTCTCGAGAAATTCTTATCAATTAAAGATTAGGGTTCCTGATATGAGAATGCTAGTGCCAAAATCAAACAAAACGTCTGAAAATGAAAGAAAATGCTTCATGGGGAGCTCGTTTCATGTCGGCGTATTTGTGCCAGTTAGACGTCGGCCATGGAATCCATCATACATTGTTCTCCTCAATTCCCTTTTGAAGAACAAGGACAACAGCCTCGAACACGGCAAACTGTGAGAAGTAAAAGATCGCGAGATAGCTAAGTTCTTTAAAACCATTCCGTTCTCAAAATCATTAAACAATCAAAATGTATGGCAGGGCGAATTCTCTTCATGATGGCTCGAGTTGAAAAGTGAGATATAAAAGTCGCAAAAACCGCTAAAAGAAAGGAAATTTGAACCAAACCCATTCCTCGTCTCTAATGAGACTTTTCATCAAACGCCATTGCCGTAGCTTCACCTCTCAAAATCTAAAAAATTCGACCCACCCACCAACAAAAGAGTCTCAAATTCTCCAATTTTGCGGGTCAGGCCTACTCCATGATGCTCTACACACCCTAAACTCTCTCGATTCCTTCAATTCCACCACCAACAAATCCATTCTCTACGCCTCTCTCTTGCAAACCTGCACCAAGGTTGCTTCCTTCAGCCATGGCCGTCAAATTCATGCCCATGTTCTTAAATCTGGCCTTGAAACTGACCGGTTTGTTGGGAATAGCTTACTTTCTCTTTACTTTAAATTGGGTTCAGATTTCCGGCTGACTCGAAGAGTATTCGATGGTCTTTTTGTGAAGGATGTGGTGTCCTGGACGTCCATGATTACGAGCTATGTTCGAGAAGGTAAACCTGGTAATGCGATTGAATTTTTTTGGGATATGTTGGATTTAGGGATTGAGCCTAATGGGTTTACTTTATCGGCTGTGATCAAGGCGTGTTCTGAGATTGGGAATTTAATTCTTGGTCGATGCTTTCATGGTTTAGTTGTAAGGCATGGATTCAATTCAAATCATGTCATTGTGAGTTCTTTGATAGACATGTACGGGAGAAACTTTGCTTCGAGCGATGCACGCCAACTGTTCGATGAAATGCCTGAACCAGATGCAATATGTTGGACCTCTGTTATTTCAGCTCTTACAAGGAATGATTTGTATGAGGATGCATTGGGTTTCTTTTATTTGATGCTAAGAACTTATAGTTTGTCTCCTGATGGTTTTACATTTGGTTCTGTATTGACTGCCTGTGCTAATTTGGGGAGGTTGAGGCAAGGTGAAGAAGTTCATGCTAAGGTGATTGCGCATGGACTTGGTGGGAATGTGGTGGTTGAGAGTAGTCTGGTCGATATGTATGGGAAATGTGGAGCGATTGAGAAGTCTCAACTCGTGTTCGATAGGATGTCGAAGAGGAACTCGGTTTCGTGGTCTGCATTGCTTGGAGTATATTGCCAAAACGGAGACTTCGAAAAGGTTATAAATATCTTTAGGGGAATGGAGAAGATCGACCTCTACAGTTTCGGAACAGTCATTCGGGCGTGTGCTGGGTTAGCAGCTGTAACTCAAGGGAAGGAGGTTCACTGTCAGTATGTAAGAAAGGGTGGATGGAGAGATGTCATTGTGGAATCAGCTCTAGTCGACTTATACGCGAAATGTGGTTGTATTGATTTTGCGTATCGAATCTTTGAGCGGATGCCAACAAGAAACTTGATCACGTGGAATTCGATGATTCGTGGGTTCGCTCAGAACGGAAGAAGTGGGATTTCTATTGAGATATTTGAAGAGATGATTAAGGAAGGGATTAAGCCTGATTATATCAGTTTTATTGGTGTTCTTTTTGCTTGTAGTCATACAGGTTTGGTCGATCAAGGGCGACATTACTTTGTTCTAATGACTGAGGAATATGGAATCAAACCAGGAATCGAGCATTATAATTGTATGGTTGATCTTCTCGGCCGAGCAGGGCTGCTAGAAGAAGCTGAAAATCTGATCGAAAATGCAGACTTTAGAAGCGATTCGTCTCTTTGGCAGGTTCTTCTAGGAGCTTGTACTACCTCTACAAACTCTGGTACTGCAGAACGCATAGCCAAGAAAATGATGGAGCTTGAACCTCAACACCATTTAAGCTATGTTCTCCTGGCTAACGTGTACAGAGCAGTAGGCCGATGGGACGACGCTTTGACAGTCAGGAAGTTGATGAAAAGCCGACAGGTGAAGAAGGTGCCTGGTCAGAGCTGGATGTAGGGGGCAAAGCATCAAGGTTATGAGCCTATATCAAACCCGAATTCAAGGCCGATGATGGCTTGGCATTGATTATCAAAATATGGGGGGTCAGCTATTGTTTTCATGCTCGTCCCAAGATGAAGAACAGCCATGAGAAGCCAGCCACTAAACATATCGAGAGCATACCGACCTGGTCGAAAAGGTTATTTAGACACTATTAACGGGGATTATTGAAAGTTCGTGATTTTCCATGGAGACTATAAGTTGCAATTTCCAGTTAATTAGACTGGAGAAGGAGATCTAACTACTTGCCAGCATGAACATCATGAGATTGAGTCTTTTATTTTGATTTTCTCTTCATCTCCCTCCGGGAAAAGCTAACTTATTTATTTGTTACATTGTGTTTCTTACAAATTTTTAAAGCTCTATTTATATATCAATAAATTGTAGTGGAATGATATTGTTTCGGTAACATCCTAGGCTCATCGCCGACTATCACCAATAGCCTCACGATTTTAAAACACGTATGTTAGGGAGAGATTTTCCCACTCGTATAAAGAGTGTTTCGTTTTAAAACATCTGTCAGAGAGAGGTTTTCCCACTCGTATAAAAAATGTTTCCAACTAATGTGAGATCTGAGCAACTATCATCGTTAGACTCACAATTTTAAAACGTCTGCTACAGAGAGGTTTTCCCACTCGTATAAAGAATGCTTCGTTCCCCTGTTCAACTAATGTGGGATCTCGCAATAGGCTCATCGTTGACTATCACCGTCATCCTCACGATTTTAAAATGTCTATTAGGGAGAAGTTTTCCCACTTGTATAAAAAAATGTTTCATTCCCCCTTTAAATAATGTGGAATCTCACAATCCACCCTCCTTGAGGTTAGCGCCCTCGCTAGCACACCGCCCCATATCTAATTTTGATACCACATTTGTAACAGTCCAAGTCTTGTCCACTTTGGCCCGTTACGTATCACCATTAGTCTCACAGATTGAAAACATATCTAAAACATATCTATTAAGGAGAGGTTTCTACGGTAGTACAAAGAATGGTTTAGGGATAATGTTCGATCCTAAAATCGTGGGGCTAACAGCATTAAATTCACTTCAAAGGGATTAAGAAAACTGGAAAAAAAAAAAAAATACTTGTCATGCTTGCTAAATTTTATATGGTTTTTGGCTAAGACAATCTTCAATCAATTAATAAGAAAAATAACACGAAAAGCAACTTTACTATATGAAAACTGTTGATGAAAACGAAGGTGGTCAAAAAAATGGATTTTTCTTACACACACACGCACACACTCTTCAAGTGGGGGGTGGGGGATGGAGTTGATCTTTGAGACTTTTCACAGCAGCTAAAAACCAGTTTGAATGTTCATATCAAAAAGCTGCCCTCAGGGTTCCCATGGCGGCTTCACGTTTCATGTCTACAGCCATACCGCTACCTCGGAAGTACATGTATACTTGCTGCAAATTGGATGCATAAAGTTTTTCAGTGGGAATCAAAACAAAATGAATGCAAACGAAGAAGATGGTACATTTCAAACCTGGATAACCCATATGCTGATTAGTGATTCAATGCAGAAGAATGCAAAGCCAATGAAGTAGAATATCTGTGAGAAGTGTCATTACTCATCAACTAGTTTTCCAACGAAATCATTATATAAACTGAAAGAAAAATCACTATGCTCAGACGAAAACAATATCGAATAACAAGTAACATGGTTTACTTCTGTAGAATGGATATGTGACAGTATGTATGAACATTCATCTACTTAAAAGCAAAAGACCAATCTCACTTAAACCACTCATTTACTTCCTAATACCTAAGAAGCACGGATACTTTAGTTTGACTAGCGTGTTCAACACGGGTACATGTTGGACACTTGGATATTCAGACACTTGTTTGACACGTATCCAACACTTGTTAACATAACAGATAATCAAATAAGTCTAATAATAATAAAGGAGGAAACTAATAAATTTTGAGATAAAAAATACAACCACTTATTTTATCAATCATATAAATGCATATAATTGACTATAAATTTCATCTTGAAAAATATTTTTTTCATTTCTTACGTCCCATCACGTGAGAATGCTAGGTTATAATTTAGAACACCTATATTGGATAATTTTACAAAATATGGGGCATTTCAAAACCCACACAGAAATGCAAAATCGAGTAGAACCTACCCCAACCAAAGCATTAGTACCCAACAAGTCTATAGCAGGTAAGATCCCTCTGAAAAAAATACACCAAACAACATTAACTTCTCTCAAGAAAATAAAGAGAAAATATTAGTTATTCAACAAGTATAAACCTCTACTTTTATACAAGGACATTAAAACTTACGTAAGAGATTTCCCCTTAAATATAATGGGAGGAGCAACTGCAGAAAAGACGCAGAAGCTAATATGAATCTGGAAGAAGAAATTTATTAACTTGGGTAAAAAGTAAAACATCTTCAAAGTTGGAAAAGTAACTGCAATGAAGTTGAAAGGTTACCGAGTAAACTAGGAAAAACCACCCGAACTTCAGAGCACTATCAGTCCTGTTTATGTTAATAAGCTAACTTGTCAAACGTGACGCCATAATGGATAATTCGACCGAACCAACATACAGAAGAACACTGAAATTCAAGAGCTAAATTTCTACGAGTCACACAAGTTATAAATCAATTTACAGGTTCAGCAACACAAGAACGAACTGAAAGTGTACTTTTCCCCAAATAAATTTATTAAATACTACCTATTCATCAACTCTATATCAATTGAGAAGGTTCATCACTTTCAACAAACAAATGTTCCTTCTCTCAGAGAAACAGTATGCTTTCACTTAGTAATCTTAAGATATCTTCACATCAGTTATTCTTATCACATGATACAGGTTCTTGCAGCTTCCTCGACTCATATAAGCGTAATACTAATATCTCCAATGAACAAAACCCGGGAAGTATAATTAACCATTAGGGCTGGCCGGCTGGGATTTGGGGGATTCTTCTTTCAAGGTAAAGAAGGAAAAAAACGTACTTCCATTAAGTTATACCTTGTAGCACGATAGAGAGGACGATACCACCCGACATATGCTCCAGGTACACCTGATATGAGGTAGATAATAGCAAGAAACCATATTGTTGGACCTACATGAGTAATAACTATCAGTAACAGACCATGGAAGAAACATATTTCAAAGGACATAGGCATATGAAGAAGATTATAAACTTACCTTCACCATTGATCCAAGCAGTAGTAACTGCTATAATGTTCCACGAAAGGCACACAACCAAACCTAGACAATAAATAATTTAATACAATGATGTACATCAAACCATCATAACTGATTCACGTGGAACAGAAGGAAACTACATACGACTAAGCAACATAATTCACATTATAAAGAAAAGTAAATCATTCATGGAAAGATGGAAAGTGCCATGCATTTGGAATTCTCTCCTTTGGTGTATAGTGAGGACTGAGGAAGGAAGGGGAGGGGAACTCCAGGATGGTGTAGCGTAGAGTGGGGGCAGTTTAAAAAATGATTCCTTCACCCACCAGTTTAAAAAATAAATAAATCAACACTGCCAAACAATACTAAAAATTTTGCTTCCATCACATAATTGCTAGAAATAATCAGTTAAAAAAACTTCAGAACTACCTATTTTGAGGAAACCAAGCCTAATGGTTAGCCTATGGTGGTTATAAGGATCATATCAAAAGTTGTTAAAGGTTAGCCTCGAATTTGACAAAAATAAAATATCATGGTCTTGAAGATACTCTTGTTAAGCTGACAGACTTCGATGGCCCATAACTAGTTCACATGTCACACAGAAACCTCAACTATATATACATCCACGTGAAGAGATAAAAATTGCATTCAGATAGAATAAACAATATAAAAAACCACAATATTGGGAAGCGGCTTGATAAATTACACGACATCACCATGATTAAGGTTTTATTTGCCGTTTAAACTACAACTTAACGTTACCATCATATAATGTTAGCCAAACTATCGTGAAAAACCTGGAAGCAGATAGCATCTGGACTTTCATTAAAGAACGTAACTTTTATGATTGAGCATCACGTCCACTCACCCAACAATGTTGTGAAGGCAACATACTGGACGTTCTGTAGATGGATCGGTATTTCATTTGCAATATCATTATGGATAAGGGGAAAAAATGGTGGCCAATTTTTCTCCTCTATAACAATTCCAGCTGCCAAAATTAATTGAAAAGTTTTCAGATTAGAACGGGAAGAATTATGATTCGCTTGCTTCTAATGCAACCAAACAATTATGCATACCTCTTGCAATAGCATCTTCCCTCCGTTTTAATTCCTAAGCATTTACAAAGGCAGAGTCATTTAGAAAGAAATATTTCTTTAAAGCACAAGGGATCAGCTAACTCATACCAGTCTTACAACAATGAAACGCAAATTAGAAAATATAGAATAAGAGTTCAAACAATTAATGCATGGAACAAGAAAACGCAGGGTATATTCTTCAAACAAATGATTGGATGAGAAAGAATGGCCGAGAGTTATTTCGTAACTCATAGTTTTTATGGACCAATAATTATCATTTGTTAAGTAGCCAGTTAGAACAAGCCAGAATTTGAATGCACTATTGACATAAAATATGTCCTTTGGTTATAGGATTATATGATGCATCTACCGTGTGGTAAAGCAATTACCTGTTCCCTCTTCTTTAATTCAGCTTCTTTGGCTTGAAGCTCCTTCTCCTTAGCTTTCAAATCCTAAAAATTGAAAGGAATACTGAAGAATGTGAGATCCTATTTTTCCCTTGATAGTGCTTCAAATAGTAAAAACCCATAATAAACGAAACATTTAAAAGAATGCACTCCACCTTTGCAGTATCGAGAGGAATGTCAATCGTTGCACCACGATCGTAAGTTTCATGGGGAAGAGGTGAGAGCCTGGAGGGTGCGGGTTGAACACCTCCAGCTCCAGAATTCTAAACATAAGGCAAACAGTAAAATGTGGCGGAAGAATGACATAGGTTGTAAAATTATGCAAAAATTATGTCAAAACTCCCGGAATGAAGAGACTCGGTACAATTGCATTGGGCAAACATATCGAAAAGCATTAACGCAGATCATAGAACTCATACTAATAATCACATTTACAAAGGAGGGAGGCAAGCATTTTGTTTGTTATTATAAATCACTAATAGACCATGGTTTTCAATAAACTAAGAAAGCCAACAAAACTAACTCGGTCACATTGAGTTCTCCTGAATCCCATTCCCAGAAAACAAATCAGAGCAGTTCCGACGCCACAAAATCTCACAATAATCACATTTTCATTTCCGTCTGATCATCAGAAAATAGACGACATGCACGGAAAGTCTCATACGAACAATGAGAGTTTTGTTCTTTATCATCCGTAAACGACGTTCTCTATCAAGTAAAAATGTAACAAGGAAGTCAAAGACCACTGGCCGATCAGGGACTCCATTTCACCGAAGAGAAAACCATAAACAACAACAACAACAGCAACTCATTAACACGACGGAATAAAACAACCAACATTCGAGAAATGAAAATGCTCATTACTCTAATCGTCAAAACACGGATATCAAAAACCAGAAACTCCGATCTGAAAGGCAAATTATAACAAAGCAGAGGAAGAAAACTTACAGAAAATGGATTAACGTCATCGTCAAAAGGATTGGAATCGTATCGACTCATTGTGAAGAAGATCTAAACAAATTATCTGAAAGAAAGAAAGGAAAAAAGGAAAAACTATTGAAGAAATGGATTGAAATCAGATGTTTCTTACAGAAATGAAGATTCAGGAAGAAGGCAACAGAGAATGAATCTCGCAATCCTTCTTTTTCTTTTCTTTTCCTTTTCTTTTTTGATCAGTTTTGGATTTTACGCTTTCGATGTGTTCTGTTTCTGTCTGTTATCCCAACAAAAACTGAAACGAAGAATATTGGCGCCTGAAAATGATTAAATATAATGTAATTAAAAGCTAAACACACTCTATTACGCTAATCTCGCTGATTAGTGCTTTAGTGGGCCCCACCCCCCTAGAGAGGGGCTTTGTGGTAATTTTACTACCGTTACAAACAAATTACTTTATGAACATTAAACGTAATTGTAATTTATTTTCAAATAATTAATTTAACTAATTTAAAAGGAATATTCTCAAATCTTTAATATTTTAAAGATGTGTCGAAAATATTAGAAGGATTAGTCTCACATTAGCTATTTACATGAAAGATCATGGCTTTATAAGCAACGAACACATCTAGTAACATTTCAAGCCCACCGCTAGTATATATTGTCCGTTTTGGCCTGTTATATCTCGTCGTCAGTCTCACGATTTTAAAATTTAAAACGCATCTACGAGGGAAAAGTTTCCACACTCTTATGAGAAATACTTCGTTCCCCTCTCCCACTGATGTGGGATCTCATAATCCATCCTCTTGGGGGCCTAGCGTCATCACTGACATATTGTCCCGTGTCTGATACTGATATCATTTGTAACCGCTCAAGCCCACCACTAGCAGATATTATCTGCTTAGGCCTGTTACATATCGCCGTCAGCCTCACAGTTTTAAAATGTTTCACACCCTTGTAAGGAATCTTCATTCCCCTCTCCAACCGACGGAGAATCTCACACATCTCAATTGGTCTAAACCCTTTTGAAAAAATTAGAAGCCACGAGAGGTTATGCTCAAAGTGAACAATATCATTTCATCGTGTAAGTTCGTTGTTCCTAACAAGACGTCGCTATGAGAACCTATCTGTTATCGTTCACGAAACACATATTCATTATTAAGAGTTATAAGGTAACCAATCAATGGAAATGACACCAACAATGGGTTAGCATATATTTCTTCATAATACATATAGTAACTATCTAGTTTAATAAACAATGGAATGATCACAAATGATTCACCTCAAGAATTGGAGCTCTGTTGCTACAAAAGTGTTGTCTTACACAAACCAGAAGGGAGAAGATGAATGAATGGCTCGCGAGTTTGGATTGCAAAACTCGAGCACGTTACCCCGGAGATTTGCTCGAAGATCTTCGCATCGTCTTCAACGAGAAACATGGCAGATCTTTCAGCACTTCTTTTTGCTTCTTAGTTGAATGGATTGTGGCTAACTCTAATCAAAAACCATATCAACCTTCACTTGAACCACTGCCATTTGGTTCTTTCCTTATCATGCTCAGCAAGTCCTGAACAACCGTCGACATCGGTGGCCGGAATTCAGGCTCCGACTGCAAAACGTAATCGAGGTGTGATGAAGATGATCCATTTCAGGTTACAATCCAACTCTACCAGGTTAGAGCATGGATCTATAATAATGGCATGATACTTTTTTGGAATGTCATGAAGCTGCTCACCTGTACACATTTTGATATGATATCGGCAAAGTACGACAAGGATTTGGCAGGATATTGACCATTGAGTGAAGGATCGACCATGCTCGTCAATGCCTCTATGTCGTGAAGCTGCGGAATCGCCCATCTGACTAAGAACTGCTCACCTCGGGTCCTTGTTCTATCGAAAACAATGGAAAGACAATGAATACACTAGAAATGGACCAATAATAATCAATATCACTTTCTTTCAACAACTTACCTGTCGTAAGACATCCGTCCAGTGAGAAGTTCCAACATAACCACACCAAAGCTGTAAACATCACTCTCGAGTGTATAAACTCCCGATTCAAATTCTGGCGCCCCATAGCCATATGCTGTTAGAAGCTGACCTGATAGCTGTAAAGTATGGAAAATGAAGTGTCAAATGCAATAGAGATGTCAAGTGTAAACTCCTGATTTGGTACCACTCTCATGGCCCACACCGAACCGTGCTTTATCCCTAGATGTCCTACAAATAGAGAATTGCAACTATGAGAAGGTTAAAGATTATCGCTTACCTGACTAACAGCTCCTTTTGATATCAATGGAGCCAGACCGCAATCCGAAACATGGACTGAAAAATCATCGTCAAGTAGGACATTTGCAGACTTGAAATTCCTATGAATAACAGGTGGCTGACAGACCTCATGCAGATACCTTCGAACAAAAGATGAAAACCAAATGAATACGAACGTATACACAATTTCCCCGTAATGATTCTCATTGGCTTGTAACATCAGGCAAACCAAACGAAATATCAGAAAATGATAACATCAGGCAATTTACTTTATGCCCATATTACTGAAAAAATGCTATATTTTAGAATGATTATAATTGGATCGCAGACCCGGTCACAATCTACTAAAGGGCACATCATGAGACATGGACAGTGAGGAAAAAGGGTTGCCTGATTCGGCTTGCTTCGGACATTATCGATTTTGTTGACCGTCGTGGAAAGAAAACTCAGAGCCCCTTAAGAAACTCCTGGTGTGCAAAGCAACATCATAACCCCTCCTTGTATTCATAGACAACTAGTGAGATCCGACATCAGTTGGGGAGGAAAACGAAGTATTCTTTATAAGGGTGTGGAAACCTCTCCCTAACAGACCCGTTTTAAAAATCTTGAGGGGAAGCCTAAAAGGGAAAGCCCAAAGAGGACAGTATCTGCTAGTGGTAGGCTTGGGCCATTACAAATGATATCAGATCCAGATATCGGGCGATGTACCAGCGAGGAAGTTGAGCCCCAAAAGGGGATGGACACAAGGCAGTGTGTCAACAAGAACTACCCAACTAATAATGAAAAAGAATTAAAATATTTTGTTTCCAGAAACATAAACATTGAGAACCACAATACCAAATCTTGATCATGCAAATTGGATAAAATTAAGCTGAGCAGCTTAGAAGGTTAAGAATGGGAAATCACAAATGATGGCCTAAATTGCTTAGGGGAGGGAAGCAACGACGTGTCGAAGCTAAAACTAGCATAAAAAAGGTCATATGAATAGGTTACTTACTCCAAGGCTCTTGCAGCCCCAAGAGCCATTCGAATGCGGGCGTTCCAAGAAAGGTTCTTCCTAAACTCTTCATCTGAGTGCAGTGCATCCTGCAATGTTCCACCACTGCAATACTCATAGATAAGAAGCCTTTCACCATGCTCTGCACAGTAGCCACTGAGCTCAACCACATTAGCATGCCGGATTCTATCGATATTATTCACTAACTCAAGAAACTCGTCGTCTTTTTGTTGATTGAAAGCTCTTTTATCCAGTTTCTTGACGGCCAGTAGCTTCAAAATCATTAGAATGGTCAAATGTTAGATATGATGTCATTAAAACTCAAACAATACCACGATGCATATCAATAAGGAGAAAATGAGATTCTTCTCATACGTGCATCATAGAACTTTTTCCCAACTGTCATGTGAAAATATCAATACTCAAGAAACCAGAGTGGCCTTCTTTTAGCTAGTAGATATTGTCCATTTTGGCCCGTTACGTATCACCGTCAGCCCACAGTTTTAAAACACATCTACTAAGGAGAGGTTTCCACACCTTTATAAAAAATGTTCCGTTCCCCTCTCCAACCAACATGAGATCTCACAATCCACTCCCTTTGGAGTCCAGCGTCCTCACTGGCACACCGCTCAATATCTGGCTCAGATACCATTTGTAACAACTCAAGCCCACCACTAGTAGATATTGTCCGCTATGGCCCGTTCCGTATCACCGTTAACCTCACAATTTTAAAACGCATCTACTAGGGAGAGGTTTCTACATCTTTAGAAGAAATGTTTTGTTCTCCTCTCCGACCAATGTTGGATCACATAATCCACCCCCTTGGGGGTTCAGCGTCCTCACTGGCACACCGCTCGATGCCTGCCTCTAATACCATTTATAAACCACCCAAGCCCAAGCCCAAGCCCATCGCTAGTAGATATTGTCCATTTTAACCCATTACGTATCGCCGCCAGCCTCACAATTTTAAAACGCATCTACTAGGGAGAGGTTTCCACACCTTCATAAGAAATGTTTCATTCCCCTCTCCAACTAATATGGGATCTAACAGAAACAACTAATAAAAAGCTAGTGGCTATGTAGGTGTTCGTAAAAGTAATCAATCCATTAGACGTTTATTCACATTCTAGCCCAACTCAAAATAAATTTTATCTCTCAATCTGAGCTTGGTTAAGATTAATATATCAGCAATTCTCACTAAATATGTCTCCATATGTTGACTACTCGATAGAATCGTAACTGGTACAGATAACGATCAGTAAAATTATTAAGACACAGGAAGAATAAAACACCAAAAGCGGCAGGAACGAACTACCATAAGCATTGCCATTCAACAGAAGGACTAGCAAAGAGTTAGAAACGTAACGAAATTATTGATAGCAGCAAATTTACCTTCCCACTGGGGAGCTGGGCCCTATAAACAGTCCCCAGCATACCTTCTCCGAGAAGATTCTCCGGTGAAAAGCTGTTTGTATATTGCTGTAGGGATGCAATGGTGAAAGATTTTGCAAAAGTTGAGGTAGTTCTATGTTTGGTGGGAGGCTTAGAGGGAAGAACTTCGGCTGGAACACTGGGCACAGCAGTGACCTCTTCAATAGGAGGTGGTGGTGGTGGAGGGGGAGGTGGTGGGGGAGGGGGCGGCATTAGATAGACATCAAGTGCGCTCATTTCTACTAGATGATGATCCTTCTTCGGAATAGCACTCATTCTTGGCACGTTTGTCTCTCTCTCTTCATGAGCTTTTGGGACCTTCTGAGCTTCTATTTGAGTTTCCTGCTTCGGCCTTACTACTGCCTCGATTGGAACTGTTGATAATTTTCACAAGTCAGCTCATAACTAAGAATAAGTTTACTATACAAATTAAATAGTTATAATAAAATAAAAGTGCTAAATTAGGATCTATTAACCTTTAGGTATCTGATCAACCGGAGGGCGCATGGATCCGTCATTGCCAGCATTCTCTCTCTCAGCCCTATAAGCACCTATCTGATGACGTCGCTTGGAAATACTATCAACTGTTCTCCTTCTGCACCTTGGCATAAAAAGCACACATGCCAAAACCAAGATTATGAATGACAATACAGCTGCAAGTGTTATCAAAGCAACCCTTTTAGTGTTTTTCTTATTTCTTCCAGTGCTCGATTCCTCAGGCGCTGATGGTCCATCAGCCTGATTCTTTGGTTTTTGTTGAGAAGATGGTCGTGCTTCAGGAACGGGCGGTGCTGGTGGTGGTGGTGGTGCTGGCTTTGACGGTGACGGTGGTGATGGAGATACAGAAGGAGGAAGCGTCGGAGAAACAGAAGAGTTAAATGGGTTTCCATCCTTTCTGTGTTAGAGATGGTGATGCCAAAATGAGATTAACAAGATTTGCACTCAATTCAGGAAATGCAATAAAAGAAAAACCTCATACCCTCCCTCTCACCTAAAATTAGGGATACTCAGCAACTTCTCAGGTATGGGTCCAGAAAAAAGGTTGTTCTCTATATTCCTGCTCAAACACAAGGAAATAACCATTTAGGAAGCAAGCAAAAGATAGCATACGCCAAGCGAAGTTTCGAGATTTTGCAAAACTATCTATAATTTGAATCAAACGGCTGCCTGAAAACTGAATGAAAAAAGATAGTAGGGACAAGTACAAGTCTTTTAGTGGAAGATCTTGTAGAACATCAAGGGTCCCTGATAGTTGATTATTCTGCAAATGCCTGCAAATTAAAAATAATTAGTACACGAATGAACGTATCTAATTCACATCGGGCCAGAGCTACAAAATACTCACAGGGTGGTCAATGCCAATAAATTGCTTGCAGATGGAGGCAGTGGCCCACTCAAGTTGTTATTGGATAAGTCCCTACAGAAGTTACAGGTTGAGTAATCGAACCAAGGACTAAAGCATAAGCACAAAAACTAAGAAATGGAACATACAAATTGACCAATTGAGTAATGGCTTGAAAGGAATCTGGTATTTCTCCGCTTAATTTGTTGTCGTTCAACGACCTATAAGGTAGAAAAAGAAAAATCTCAGGCGAACGTGAAATTCATAAGCCAAGTAACAAACTAAAAAACACAAACAGGGAACATGAGCTAACATGGCGGACAGTTGAATCAAAGATGATAATGAACTCGGAATGCTTCCAGTGAACTCGTTAGCTGAAAGAAACCTGCAAAAGATAGAGATGAATAAATATTTTGCAATTCATGCACAAGGAAAGTAACAAAGCATAAGCACTAGAGAATAGGAGCATACAAGTTCTGCATGGTAACGGGTAAACTTGATGGAATACTTCCCCCTATATGATTGTTGCTTAAATCACTGCCAGCGAGCATAGGTCACAATGTAAATGTCAGCAACTAACATAGCAAGAGAAAGCAAAGTAGCAGATGATTTATATGTAATCATTAGCAACATCAGCAATGTAGCTAGATGTGACAGCCTAAGCATTGTGAGATGCCACATCGATTAGAGAGAGGAACGAGTGTAAGCGAGTGTTGAGGATTGTTGTGAGTGAGTCCCACATTGGTTAATTTAGTGGAAGATCATGGGTTTATAAGTGAGGAATGCTATCTCCATTGGTATGAGGCCTTTTGGGGAAGGCAAAAGCAAAGCCATGAGAGCTTATGCTCAAAGTGGACAATATCATACCATTGTGGAGAGTTCTGATTCCTAACAGAAGGACGCTGAACCCCGAAGGGGGTATACACCGGACGGTATGCCAGCGAGGACACTGGGCCCTAAAGGGGGTGTGCCAACGAGAACGTAGTGCCTCGAGAATACGTCATTTGGAAAGGGGATCTTTCAATCAAGAACACAACCAACGATTAGAAATTAGACCCCTCCCCCTCATGGAAAAATCCAAAGAGAACAATATCTTCTAGCGGTGGATTTGGCTTGCTACACTATATGAAATAAATATACAAGTAATGCACGCTTTGGCAGGTCATGGTTTCTAACATGAGAGAATACGTGTTCGGAATGGGGATCTTTCAATCAAGAACGCAGCCAACGATCAAAAACTAGACCCGTCATTGTTAATGCAGAGACATACGTAATTACTTACATTGTTTGGATCGAAGAAAACATTCCCAAGCTATCACCGAGTTCACCTCCCAAATTAGCAGCATTAACAACTCTATATCAAAAAGTTCAGTTAACTGTGTTTCGAAAAGTATAAAACAAACTATTCCAGAAAGGAAACCAACATACATTTTAATGATATTTGAATCATTACAAACAACACCCTGCCATGCGTCTCCGCATGGGTCTTGCCCAATGCCCCATCCAGGAAGATTGGGGAGCCCCAGCGCAGTATGAAAGCTACTAATAGCAGCAACTATGAACAAGAAATAATGCAGGTCATCAGCCGTAGAGATCTACTCTATTGTAAAGACATCAGTAATAAAATGCACTAGAAAAACATTAATCACACCCCTGATTCGCATTTTCTTGGATCAAAATGACGAATCATATGACAAAACTAAAGCGTTTAAATTCAAATGAAGCCTTACAATCGCCTGGATTCGTAATTCCGAGAAGAACTTGTGCTGCACAGATCACGAATCCGACTAAAACCTGTGCCAAGATCCTCAAATTGGCACTCCTCAAAGATCTCCAACCCATTGATGCAAAACTCACCTCGATTTCTTCTTATTCTAAAAACCGAATCCGCGCAAGCATCCTCCACAACCTGAAAGCGCCGACCAAAAAATAGCACAATAAAATCCACAGAAACCGACGGAATTCAAGCTCAACATTGCACAAAACCAAGATTAAACTCAATATCGAGCAAAATCGAAGTCAAGAACTACTAAAAACGATTCAAATCTGAATCTATTAAGAAAATAGGTTCCAGCGAATGAGATACGAACTTGCAGTGAAGTTGGAGCTTGAAACTTACCAAAATGTAGTGCGAAATTGACGTTGGAAAGCGAGGAATCGAGAGAAAAAAAAGCTGGAAGTAACTTTCTAAAAGCTCGAGTTCTTAATTTTAGGAAGGATTAAATGAACTGAGATTCATTGAATTAAGAAAAAGAAGTAGAACATGTCAAATTTCTGGTTTCCAATTCGATTCTCAACTCGATTAAAGCTCAAATCGACGAACACCCTAAAAAAACTGGAAAATCAAGTAAAAGGCAAAGTTGGAGACGTAGAAGAACAGTACGGTGAAGGTGAGAATTTCTCTTAAACTTTGCTCCGTTTTCTCTCTCTGGTTTTGGTCTGTGTTCTATTTCTCTCTCTAAAAAAACCAAATTTATAAATAAATAAAAAAAATTAAGTTTATGGACATGAGTGCTGATTTGTCATGCATATCTTTTTTCAGATGAAACATGCAGAACGTACGCCACGCGCTCTGAAGCGCGTGAGATAGCTTCATATTTCTTTAAAAGGGTTGATGTTCCATTCCACTTTGCTTTTTCATCTCAATTTTCTAAATAATACTATGTGGACTTTCTTTATTGTATTCTTTCGTCATTTTTTTGTTATTTTTTTATTTTATTTTTCATGTTGAGCTAATCATATATTTATTTATTTTCATCCAATTGTAAATTTTATAATTTGAAAGAAGTATAATTTATACTATATTTTTAAAAAAATTATAATTTGATAAAATAAAAATAACATAAATAGTCGATAAATTTTTTATAAATCGTCCTCAAACCTACGTAATTTTTTATCTAATAGTACCCGACACTTTAAAAATATTCTAATAAAATATGTAGTAAATTTATAAAATTTTGAATCTATCTAATAAATAATTGATTTGTTAGAAAATTTTAAAATATATATTTAGCTATTAATGTTGAATTAAACACAAATTTCAATTTTATATGGACTAAATTTGTTCCCTTTTTTATAAATTAAAATAGTAAAATTATAATTTAATTATTTTTTAAATCATAAAAATTTAGTTATTATTAGATTGAGCGGTGTGTAGCAATTTGATTTAAATAAAGGAATAAGAATACAATGGTATAATTAATATTCTGGAAAAAGAATATAATTTATGGATTAGAAATGGATAAGGATGTTGGATGTTCCAACCCATCTTAGAAAAATATTGATGGTGGAATTTATAATTAATATTTATTAAAATATATATATATTAATTATTTAACTTTTATTTAGAAGACTAATACTTTTCTTGAGTCAAAGTCCACATAATTATATTAAAAATGTGTAATTATGTAAGTTATGGTAAGTCGTCCAAAGTGGAAGTAAATTTCTAGTCTCCTTCGCAATAAATAAATGTTTATAATTTATAATTAAAATAAGTTTTGTAAAGTTGAGTTAAGAATCGAGAATAAATGAAGGAACGGAGAGAGATTTCTCTTGTTGTAATAGCATAAGCTTACTTCTAGGGGATATTGTAATGTCCCACATTGGTTTGGGAGGAGAACAAAATACCCTTTATAAGGGTGTGAAAACCTTCTCCTAATAAACGCGTTTTAAAAACCTTGAAGGGAACCCCAAAAGAGAAACCCAAAAACGACAATATCAACTAGCGGTGAGCTAGACATCGGACGATGTGTCAGCCTGGGGGTAGACACGACGCAGTGTGCTAGTAAGGACGCTGGCTCCAAAGGGGGCGAATTCCCTAAAATGGGGTAAGACACGATGCAGTGTGCCAATAAGGTCTCTAGCCCTGAAGGGGGTAGACACAAGGCGATGTCCTAGTAAAGGACGCTGGCCCCAAAGCGGGTGGATTTGGTGAGGTCCCAGGACGCAGTGTGCCAGTAAGAACTCTAGCCCTAAAAGTGGTTGGTGGGGTCCCAGGACGCAGTGTGCCAGTAAGGTCTCTAGCCCTAAAGAGGGAGGACGTTGGCCCCAAAGTGGGTAGATTTGGTGGGGTCGCCAGTAAGGTCTCTAGCCAGGTCCCAGGACGCAGTGTGCCAGTAAAGAGGGTAGACACAAGGCGGTGTCCTAGTAAAGGACTCTGGCCCCAAAGTGGGTAGATTTGGTGGGGTCCCATATCAATTGGAGAAAGGAACGAATGCCAACGAAGATGCTGGACAATATCATACTATTGTGAAAATTCATGATCCATTTACTAACCTAAAGTATATTACAAATACATAGTACGTCATTTATTTTGTCACGTATAAAATATACTATAGTTGAATAATTTCTCTCGTTTTAGAGTATTGAATTGGAGTCAAGATAGGGGGCTAAAACTCACGCGCATGAGATAGGCGCGTGGGAAATGTCGACATGGAGAACCAAGAAGCTTTAACCGTCACAAAGAGGGTAAGCCGGAAGCTAGTGTTAACAATGCGCCATCACGTGGTCGGTCGACTGTGACTTGTGGGCCCTCTATTAGAACCCCACGGCTCACAGTCACCACCCCCATCGCAAAAACTTCCAAATTTTTAAGTTTTTTTTTTTTTTATTAATTTAATATTATATTTAAATACCAATCACTTAAACCGCTACGGTAAGACAAAGAAAAAGTACACTCGTGAAATAAGCTCAAGACAAATGTCTATTTTTCTCATCGATAAGAGTTACGAGAATATGATCTATCTCGTACACGAATTTTGTAAAGCATTTACTTCTCAAAAAACTCGAGATTCATAATTACTAATATTACGAGTATATGAACCAGATTGCATTGTTGGTAATGAAGCTTTTGAGTACCCAAAATTTTTTTAGTTAATTACTAATAGAATGCTAATGTGATATTTATTTTCAGAAGTCGTGATTGTTCAAATTTGAGATCAATTGTCGTACTCATAGTATTTCGAACTATCAAAGATCTAAAATTCCCAAGATTTGTAATCGAAACGCTATCAAAGAACACAAGTGAAGACGTATGGTGCAATTTATAGATCTCATCGATTGTTACATCACGTAGGTTTGTGTAGTCGTCGAAGGAAGAAGTTGCACGAGTATCGTTGAAAAAAGTTTGTTATTGATCGAAAATCGCGTCGTTGTCGTGATGCCAAAGAAGAGAGAAGAACGATGGAAAGATATATTTTTATTTTTTATTTATTTTAAAATTATAAAAAAGATATATTTTTATAGTATATATCTAAGATTCAAATATTTATCTAAAAAAATAAGAAAAATGTTTTTCAATAAAAAAAAATAATTACCAAATATTTAATAAGTAATTTTCGTGAATTTCTCAAGGCTAAAATAATTTAAAAAATAATAAATCCGATTATTTAATTCCAATAATTGCCCTTTAACGAATTTTGAAAATTTTCACCGCTTTTGGTCAAAAAGTGACTGATTTTCTAGTACGGCCGAGTAAAAAGCCAACAATAATATTCCAATTTCCACCGTGGCACGTGACAACCTTTTTTAAAGAATAAAAATAATTTTAAAAAAATTGGGGTGTTTATGCAATTTGGCTATTTAGATGGGGAAAAAAGTAACTTTTCTAAAACCAAAAGGGTTTTTAACAAATAAATAATTAATTAGCAAAAAGAACCTTTTAAATAAAAGGAATTTTTTCTTTACTATATAAAATTCCTTTTTTTTTTTCTTCTTATATATTTAAAAATTAGCGTAATATAAATTAAAAAATAAAAAAAAACGGGTCGTTAGTAGGTATCTTATGCGTGTGAAAAAGACCAAAAGCATAAAAATAAGTCTTTTTCCAAATGATGAAAGAAAATTTGACTAAAACTGTCGTCTTAGTCGCCTTCGTATATCTATATCATCGTCTATTTTAAGCTATTAAAAAATAAAAATAATAATGTGACCACTAGAATAAATGTGATTTTTTCTCGATAATTTATTTACTATTTTTTGGTTTAATAATATGTTAAATATATTAATTAAAATTTTTAAATTTATGTATATAACATAAAAAATTAAGGGCGAATTGTGTAATAAATAAATAATTTTTTAAAGTAAATTATGGATAGTACAATAATTGTTAGGATAATTAAAGTTAATTATTATGATAAATAGCTTTCACACTATACTAATGGGCCCGTGATATACAACTGGGAATAGTTGGACACACCATTTAAGGCCCTACATGCAACCATGAGGGCCCACAAAAAATATCCCTTTTTGGAAACTACTATCAATTACTTCCTTGAAAAAAATAAAATAAAAAAATTAATCGAAGAAAATATCTATTATATCTCTAAATTTTGGAGTTGATTGTTTCGGTCGGGTTATAAGGCCAAAGTTGACCCTATGGTTGGACTCTCAGGGGATATACGTCACGCAAGCCCTCGACAAGGGGTGTCTAGGTTCAATCCAATCAGATTCATCTTTACGTTATTTCGTAAGGGAAACGTATTTGATATAATAGATGAGGAAAGCTGTATCTTCAACCATTGAGGATTGTTGCAGTTTTACTGTGACATCCCACATTGGTTAGAGAGGGGAATGAAGCATTTCTTATAAAGGTGTGGATATCTCTCTATAGCATACGTGTCTAGCAATAGGCTTGATTTGGGTGTGGAAACTTCCCTATAGCATACGTGTCTAGTAATAGGCTTGGGTTGTTACAAATAGTATCAAAGCCAGACACCAAGTAGTGTGCCAGCAAGAATGCTGAGTCCCAAAGGTGGGTAAATTGTGAGATCTGAAACATTTCTTATAAGGATGTGGAAACCTCTCCCTAATGTGTTTTAAAATCTTGAGGGAAGTCTAGAGGTGGGTTTCCACGAGAACTTAGGCTAAAAGTGGACAATATCATGTTGTTTGCGTCAGACCCAGAAGAGGTAAACTCTTCCTTATATCTAAACTCTCGATACATTCAAGTTTTTGTCGGCATCCAAGCTATTGTTCGTATCAGACCTAGAAGAGGTGAGCTCTATCTCATATCTAAATTCTCGATACACTCAAGTTTTCGTTGGCATCCAAGCGGGTCACATCCATAAGCAATTTTTTTTTTCCCGAGTAACATTCTTTCTGCTCGAAATAAATTTTACCATTACTATTACAATCGTGCCAAAAAATTAGCTAGGGTATAACCAAAAAAAAAAAAAAAAAAAAAAAAAAAAAAAAAAAAAAAA